AGCCCTCCGAGTGAAGGGCTGAGGTCCTGGGAGCTGGACAGGCTGCTGTGGGCCCGGACCGTGGAGAACCTGTTTACGGTCATCACCACTCTGACCTCCCTCGCCGAGTTGCTGGACAAGATCGGCAACATTGTTATCAAGGATGATGTGGCCTCAGAGGTGTGTGTGTGTGTGTGTATACAAGCAAACACTTGTACCATCTGACTCCACTCAGCGAGCGTTTGTCAGAGCCCTGCTGCTTGGGCACTGTGCCATGTATTAGGGATACAAGGTCAGGAAAGGAATAGCCCCTGTCCTCCACGGGGCTACCACTCCCTGGCTGGAGTAAGAATATAATAAAACTTCTTAGAGGCCTAGAGGAGGAGCACGGGCCAGGCCTGGGGGTGTGGTTTGTGCAGATGCATGGAAGTAAGATCGGGGTGCTCTGGGCAGGCTACAGTGTAGAGTGATTTGTGGGCCATTGTGGGAATAAGGCTGCAAGGTAGTTTAGAGGCAGGTAGTGGAGGACCTCGGTGCCAGGCCGAGGAGTTGGTGTTTTATCACAGTGGACAATAGGGAGCCACAGAAGGTTGTTGAGAAGAGCAGGTCTAGATCTAGAGCTAGAACTGACCTCAGAGGCCATCCAGTGCAACTCCTACCTTTAACCGAGGAGGAAGCAGGCCCAGGGAGGGGATATGACCCTCCCGAGAGTAGATCGGTAAATGCTGGAGGGAGGACTTGAACCCAGGCCTTCTGACTCCAGAGCCAGCGCTCTTGTTCTTGACATAGGTCAGTTGTGTGTGCTGCCCCCACCCCATCACCCTGTCCAAATGAGCCCTCCCTTGTGATAAAAAGTAAAGCCGACTGATGGGCCCCGTGCTCCCTCCCCACCACTCTGACATCAGCATTGGTCAGGGCGGGCTGGGCTCCTGTTCCCCACGTCCTACTGACTTCACTCTCCAGCTGTTGGTACGAGTCTCCCCGTTTCTCTGAATTCTTCATCCTCCTAGTCCATGAGCACAGTGGAGCGTGGGCAAGACAGGGCTCCAGGCAGCTCGGGTCTCTGGGCAAGTGACTGAACCTCACTCATCCTCAGTTTTCTCATCTGTAAAATGGAAGTAATAATAGCACCTGGTCATAGTGTTGTTAGAATCAAAGGAGAGACTGCGTTAAGTTCTTTGTAAACCCTGAAACACTGTAGAAATGTCAGCTACCAGCATTATTTCTCCTCCTCCTCCGTCCTCCTCCTCCTCTGTCCTCCCAGGGCAGTAACATTCCATTCACGTGCCACATTTTCAAGGCATCCATGTTGTTTCTAGGTTTTTACTACCACAAAGTGTTCCTAGGCCTCTTGGCTGATACAGTCATTGCCAGCTGTCTCTGGCTTCCTTGGGGCCTGTGCCCAGGAGCGCGAGCGCTAGTGTCAAAGTTTGGAACAGTTTGTTGCAGATTTTTCTTCTGCACATTCCAAAATGGAGGAATGGTATGCGCTGGCCAGAGAGGGGAGGATGCCATTGAGAAAATGGTGACAGTGTGTAGCAGAGGGGTGAGGGATGAGAGCCTGAAGGAGCAGGGTGGCCCCGGGGGCGGGGGGGAAAGAGGAGGCATGGGAGAAGGGTGAAGGAAACAGACTCTACAGGACCAAGTCGGGAGGATGGGGTTTATGGAAGGGGACAGCAGGACCCTGGACAGAGTGTGAAGGGAACCTCCTGGAGAGCAGGACAGAGATGAAGGGAGCAGCACAGTACTGGACTGGTAACTTGGGAGTCATCGTGTAGGGGTGATGATTGAACCCGTGTGAGCTGAGGAGATCACCAGGGACCCTTGAATGACACAAGAAAAGAGGGTCCAGGACAGAGCCTTAAGAGGCGCCCATCAGTGGCCGTCAGTGATTGAGGATGATTCCCAGCTGAGCTGGCATCTCTAGGGGAAGACATGAAGGGGAGAGAAGGGAGACCCAAGCACAGGGGGTGAATTTGGAGGACAGGGATTGATGAAGGCATTGAAGATCAAAATAAAGATGAAGGAGACGTAGGCAGATTGAAGCAGAGGGAGATGGAAGGATGGTTGTATCAGGAATTGGAATTGGAGTCGGCCATGGTGTTGGCACCATTATGGATGATGGTGCGATTTAAAGTATGAGCACCCCTCTGAGTAGCAGAATTGAAATGATGCTGAATGTGGGAATTTGAGGTTGGTTTCTCAGCCCTCCTTAGTCCCCTTTGCCAGATTTTCAGCTAGCTAATTATGGGCATCTCTTAAGGCTTTGTCCTGGACTTTCTTCTCTGGTGTCTCTAATCTCTCCCTGCATTGAGGGAATCCTGGATGCTTGAGGGAATGTCAGCATGTATATTAAAGCCTCCAAGTATGGGTGGAGGGTTTGGGGTGGAGATGATGACTGTGGACCAGGGTTGAATCCCTTGAGAAAGGACAGAGTAGAGCTTGAAGACGGATGTCTTACAGGAACACGAATGTGGTCAAAGTGATTTAGAAGGGTTGAGTGAACCTCAAAGGGGGATGATGGTGGAGGAGGGTCTGGAAGTGGTAATGAGAAATATGGAGTAAGTGGAATCCTCCTGGCACACAAACGTGTGTGTGTGTGTGTGTGTGTGTGTGTGTGTGTATACACCAGGGGATGACAAAGTCTATTTGTAACCATTTTCCTGAGTGGCAGGGTGGAGGGAGGATGTGGGCCAAGGTTGGTAGAGATGAGAGTCCTGGAAAGCAGTAGCATGGGGACAGACTTTTACTTAGCAGATGGTGTCTGACTCGAGGGATTGGAGAGCCCAGGGTGAAAGTTTGTCAGCTCTAGGATGGGGAAGGACTCATTGAATTGGAGCCTCCAACCAGTGGGTCCTATGATGATTATGCAGCGTCTTCACGTTGCAGTGAGACCTGGAGGGGCACCCTTCCCCCTTCATGGCTTAGGTGACTTTTAAGTAACTCACAGAGTGACCCAGTACATTGGTGTATTGAAGGCACCAAAGCGCCATGTCTCCCCCTCCCTGGGCCTACCTTGAGCCCCAGAGCTGATTGGTGTCTTCTGCCCAGGTGTACCGAGCATTGGACGCCTTCCAGGAGGCAGCAGTGGAGCTGTCCGCTGGCAACCTGGAGATTGGTTTCCGTGCCAGCCAGGAGGCGGTGACGTCCTCAGAGAAGGCCTTCTTTGACCCCTCTCTTCTTCACCTCCTCTACTTTCCTGATGACCAGAAGTTTGCCATCTATATTCCCCTCTTCCTGCCCATGGCAGTGCCCATTTTCCTCTCCATGATCAAGATTATTGTGGAGAACCAAAAAGTCAGGAAGGATATTGAAAAGGTGGATTGAGTGTGCAGAGCCTGGAGAGTGGGGGCAAAGGGTTCCATTTTTATGAAAGCTGGGGTTGGGTGCAGGTGGTAACTTGGACAGCAGATGAATTATTTCTCCTGGGAATAGCCTGGTCCTGTTTTGGAGACCCCTCACTCTTCCGTATCCTTTGTGCCCTCGCCCTGCAGATCCTTTGGTTAGAGGCCAGGCCTTCCGGGTGGGTAGGTGGGTGGGTGGGTGGGAGGTTGGGTGGGCAAAGGTAAGGTCCTCCAAGAAGTCCTCTGCCCTGGGGCCTCTTTCATTTAGTTCTCTCATAAGGCATCAGCCCAGTTGGTGGGATGGGGAGGGTAAAGGGAAAGAAAGGGAGGAAACTGAAAAGGAAATAAAAGTCTTTAGGGTCATCTGGCCCTCCATGACTTGCCTGTGTTTTGTTTACTCTTTGGTTTAAACTGTAAGCTCTGAGCTGAGACTCTTGGGGTACAAGATGGTGGCACACTGCTGTTGGGGGATTGATTCATGTGCCTCTGCATACTTGGGCAGAGAAAGACTTGGTGTGGAGGAAGCCAGCTTAAGTGTGCAGAGTGGGAGACCCTCTGGCATTGCCTTGCTGGAAGAATCCTGGGCTGGAATGTTCCAGGCAGAAAAGGACCAACGTTTGCTGGTGTTGCCTTAGCAGTGACAGCTGAGCCTTGGTTCTCCCATGAAATCACTTTCCCCTCCCAGCCTCCTTACAGATGGCTTAGGCATCACTAGCTGCGGGCTCTGGAATCGCTTGGCCTTGCCCAGTGGGGGCTCCTTTTCCTCCCTTGGGGGTGGTGGAAGGCCCTAGATGTGCCTGTCAGAAGGTTTGCAACAGTTTGGTAGCCTTTTTCACTGGCCTTCACGTTGCCCACTGCTGTCTGGCACAGCAGGTGGGGCTGAGCCTCAGCCTCTTAACCTGTGAAGAAGGAAAGTTGGCCTCTACAGCTCTGGCCTTTGCAACTTCCCTTTCCTTGCTCCCAGAGCTGGCACTGCCCAAGCAAAATGCCATCTGGCCTTTGGGTTCCCTGTTCCCTCCCCCGTCCCTTTCAGTTGGTTGAACTGGGTCCTCAGAAATCTAGTTTCACCGCTACCCCCTCCCCAGCCCCACCCCTTTAGTCTCTCCCCTATCCCTTTTTCAGAAGTGGGGCACGCAGCCGAGGTTGTGGGAGCTAGAGCCTGACTTCTTGGGGGTGGTCGGAGTCCGGACATCAGATGAGAGGCGCCCCTTGGGGGCCTACAAGCCGGTTGGGACAGGATTTCAGAGATCCCTTTGTTCCCCTTTAGGGAGGGATCCTGCCCAGAACGGTCTTCAACCTCCGCCCACACACGCCCAGGCCCCGGTGCCAGCTCCCAACGTTATTTTGAGCCATCTGCTTTCCCAAATGGACTGTCCTTTCCCCTCCCACTGAGGCTGGCACTGGGGGAGAGGGTGTTCCCTGCGCGTTAGGGGTGAAGCGGAGAGGTGGGGGGGGAGGGGGACTCGGGGATAGGTCTGGGGGTGGGGAGAAGGGACGGGCGCAGGGCATGCGAAGGAAGAGGCGCCGAGGGAGGAAGGCTGGCGATGTAGGTCCAGGGGCGCGCAGCTAGGCGGGCCTAGGGGTGGAGCAGAGAGCAGGTACCTGGCTCGGGGCGGGGCCAGGAGCAGGGGGCGGCCCAGGAGCCGCGGGGGGAGGGAGGGTGGGTGGGGTGGGGAAGTAGAGAGGCCAGGCTGGGCCGGACAGACCTCGGCAGATCGTGCTGCCTCCCCTTCCCCGCTGGGCGGGCGCCGGACGGCCGCGGCGTTGCGAGGGGCAGCCGGGGGCCAGGAACAGGGCCATGAAGGTGAAGAAGGGTGGCGGCGGGGCCGGGGCCACGGCTGGGTCGGACCCCGGGCCCGGGGCCACGGGCTGCAAGGACGACGAGGCGGAATCGGAGCCGGAGCCCCAGGCGCTGCGGAGGAAGGCGCTGATCGGGCCCGAAGATGTGCTGGGGCTACAGCGCATCACGTGCGGTGAGGGAGGAGTGGGGGGCTTCGGGGAGTGGGGTCGGGGCTGAGGCTGGGGAGGAGGGATGCGTCCCCAGGGAGCCTCCTGGACGTTGTCCTCTGTGCGCACCTCCCCTGTCTCCAGCCCTATCATCTCCACCCTGGTCTGTGTGCTCTAGCCGCGCCCCTCCATCCTCTCCTCCGCTCCCTGCGCCCCACCCTACATCTCCACCTCGAGACTCCAACCTTCCTTCTCATCCCCTTTCTCCCTTCAGTGAGCTGCCTTTTGCTCTTTATGAAAATAGCTCGTAAGTTGCGGAGAGCCTCGGGCATGTCCCCTACCCCCATTTCCCCTTAGACTAAACGGGGCAAGGCAGCGAGGGTAATCGCCTTTCCTTGCCTGCCTCCTGCTTCCTCTGTGCTATGGGGTGGATTAGCTAGGTTCCCCAGTAATGTTCTAGGTCAGACAGACCTAGACTTTCAAGGAGGGCCCAGTACTTGCCGAGTGGCCTCTCGCTACGTCTGGGCATTAGCACTGGGCATGGAGGGGAGGCATTTGGGGTAAATGTGAGGCTTGGTACCAGTTCTTGCTAGGAGCATGGCCAGGGGCATCCAGTTGGGGAGAGTCAGACCTGGGCTGGCTGAAACCTCCAGGTTCGCTCCCCTCCTCCCAGCCCCAGGAGCAGTCTCTGATCTGCTTGTTATGGATTGAGGTCAACGAGGTGACCCTGAACACTAATCTCTCTCTGTCTTAAGCCAGTGGCCCAGTGCCCCCAGCCCAAGAGAGCATCTCACGATGACATATAGCCTTTTTGTGGGAAAACAGGGGCTGCTTATGGCCAAGCATTCCCTGTCATCTTCCCATCCCTAGAGGGCCATTTAGGGGTGTTTCTGCCTAACTTTGATGCTGTCTCTGGAGACCGAAGGCTGGGGGGGGGTCTAAGGTGTAGCCCCCTGCTTGCTGCCACCAAGCTTCTGTTGAGTTGGCTGGCTGTGTTTCTTACCATCAGGGAATTCTGGGTCCTGGGGCTAGGTATTTTTAGAATGCCCCTGTCCTGTCTCCCCAAGATCCTGATATCTGGAAAAAGAAATGAGACAGTGAGTCTGCCCATAGTCAAAAGAGAGAGTGATACTGTGTACAGGGATGCCTAGATATGTAAGGCAATCTCATATCTTAAGGAGCTCCCAGTCTAGTTGGTGAGACAGCTCACACCCATTGAAAGTTACATAACGGTTGGTACAGGGCATGTTACTAGGCAGTCTTTGCTAAAGGCCAAAATGAGGGCCCAGATGAGGTCACAAGGCAGAGAGCCCTGTGGGAAGGGGGAGACAGGGAGCTGACCCGTGAGGATGGGACACCTCTGTGCTCCCACATCTTGCCTCACCATCTAGGGTGGAGGGGAAAGGTCTTTCACTATAGCCAGGGAAGCTGGAGCTCCTGAGCACCCTGGGTAGGAGCAAGGCTTTGGCCCTGGGGCCCTTTGCTGGGCCCAAGGCTGGGGAACCCTGGTGTTGTCACACAGGCCCCTGTCTTGACCTCCTTGGCTTAAGAAAGGAGGGCAAAGTGGGCAGGTTCTAGCATGTGATGTTGCTTGGATCACACAGTGTTCACGTAGAGGGTAGGGTGAGTTTCCCCAAGGATTCTTCTCTTTCCTTCCCTAAGAAATCAAGTCTGTTCTTCCCCTGAGCCAGAGTAGACCCTCATCTCCCTGGGCCTGATTGTCCTTCCTCATTTTGTGCCTTGCCCTGGGGTTTGGCCTAACACAGGAGGAAGGGCCTGCCTAGGCTGGGCCCTTCCCCTGGGACACTGAGCATTCTGACCCAGATTGAGAAGGAACAGGAAAATGTGTGTATAGTGCCAGATGTGATAGGACCAGGGAGAAAGTCAATCAGTAGATGTTTATTAATCACCTCTATGTGCCAGGCACCGTGCTAAGCACTGGAGATACAAAGGAAGGCAAAAGATAGACCCTGCCCTCAAGGAGCTCATAATCTAATGGAAAGGGACCTTCTGTGACTGGGTTGGAGAGGAAGCTCAAGTTGTAGTGAGCAGAATGCAGGTCAGCTCTAAGGAGAGACTTCCCTGTAGAGAAGGCTTTGAGGATCCTTGGAGCAGCTACTATGTTTGGGTTTTGAGGAGTGGGTTTATGGAGCCTTGAGGTCTCCCATCTTGTCTTGCATTCCTCCCCCTCACATCCTTGCCTCTCTCCTAGCCTTGTCTGGTTTGACTCCAGCCTCTGTCCTGCCTCAGCCCAAGGATGGGGCACCAGGACCTAGCTCCTTCTCGAGGCCAGATTGACTTTGATTCATGGGAAAGGGAGCCACAGCCTTCCTGGCTGCCTCATTCCAAAGTCTCACCACTCATTCATTCATTCAGCATGTACTAAATGCCTCCTATGTTCCAGGCGCCATGATGGGCCATGGGGCTACAAAGACAGAAATGGAACAACAGGGTGGCTTTCTCTGGGTCTGACCTCAGTCCTTCCTGACTCACTTTCAGCCCATTTTATTTTCAGTACTACTAGCTGAAGTCGATGTCATAGAATCACAGGATTTAGAACTAAACCGTGAGAGATATTAGGTATGGGTTTCTCCAACCCCCTTGTTTTACAGATGAAGCCACTGTGGTCCAGAGAAATTAAGGGATTGATCCAAAGTCATACAAGTTTTAAGTGGAAGAGCTAAGATTTGTACTCAGGTCAGCAAAACAGCCCTTTCAAGAAGACCTCTTTCTTGTCTCTCAGTGTAGCTGATCAGTCTCCAGCCCCACCTCAGTCTTATCTAAAAAAAAGAAAAAAAAAAAGAAAATGCAAAACCAAAAAACCCCAAACCCAGAGCAGCCACTGGGACCCTGCTCCTGCCCTCTGCCCCCTGCCCCCCTCCCTCTTTTTCAGTCAGCTCATCCTTCTATCCCTCCCAGACTACCTCCCTCTCTTCCATTCCAGGTCCCCTAACCCCAATCCTTATGGTCTCATCTGGAGAACAAACAGCCAGTGAGGCTCTGCTCCTGTCCTTTAGTTTTCTCCCTTGTTGCCTCCATGCCTCCCCCTTCTCCCAATCTCCCAGAGATTCATGAGATGCTCCCCTCCCCCCCCACCTCGCTGCTGACACCAGCTGTTCCAGGATTGTCCTGGGACTTGAGCTCTTGGCTGGGGAGTTGGGGGGTGGAGAGGGCAGTGAAGCATTTGTGACCTAAGCAACCTAGGTTAGAGGAAAGTGTGGAAATCCCTCCCTCCAATTCCCCCATTCCCCTTTAAGTCAGTTGTCTGCCATTTTTGAAGTGGCCCCTCCATCCTCCACCCCTACATCTTTCCCCAGTCTTCTGACACCATAGTTACCCCTTGGTCTTCTTCCCCCCCCAGAGAGCAGGGATCGGAGGGAGGTGGGGAAGGAGGGACACATACCTGGTTTTCTGGCCCACAGCACCTGAGGACCTCCTAGGACTAGGGTATGCCTTCTAAAAGGGGCTCAGACCTAGGGGAGGGGCTGGGAGAAGTGGAGCTCTTTGAGCTTTCCAAGGCTAAAATTTTGTGATTTTTATGGGAGAGCAGTCATTGTTCCAGAGAACCTTAGACCTGAGCTTTTTGTCCCGACCCCCTCATTTTACTAAGGAGAAGAAGGAGGCCCAGAAATAAGAAGTGACTTGCTCAAGGACATTACAGTGAGCTATCTGAGACTGTAGTGCCCTGGCTTCTCCTTGGGAGAGAAGGTTCAGACTTGACCAGTTTGCTGGGACTAGGAAAGAAGTGAATCTTCTCAGAGAAGACAAGGCTGGCATCGCGGGCTTCCAGGGCTCTCTGCCTGGGCCCACCCCTGGGAAGGGGAGACAGTGTTTCCCTCATATTCTCTAAAGAAGGGGAGGCTTCAGGAAGGCCAAGGTGGGGATGAGGCAGAAAGAGGCTTGAGGAAGGGGGGTGGGGATGGTGGCAATTCCCACAAGAACCTGCCTTTCTAAGGGCTCAGAGGTTGAGGGACAAGTCTGAGGGAGACTCAGGCTTGGTTTTTGTGGTGTCTGCTTCAGGCCTGCCCTCCCACCTGAGTGGGGTTATTCTCAGGGCCTGCTACAATTTCTTTCCACCCTTCCCTCCCTTCCTGAGCAGAGCTGTGGTCCTAAGAGGCCTCTGGGGCCACACCTTCTTGTGGTACTTCCTTCTTGCCCTAAGTGCTCTCTAGTGATGCCTCTTCCTGTTTGTCACTGCCGTTCACACTTGGGGGCCCTTCGAGGGTCCCCCTGGGCCTTTCAACCCACCGCTCCCCGCCCAGGTCCTCTCCCCATCTTCTCCGGAGGAGGGAGAGGACCAGGTAGTCCTGAGGAAGGACAGGCAGGGTTGGGGTTTTCTGAGGGGTGCTGGTGGTTAAAGTATCTACCCCCTTCTGGCCCAGTCTCCTTCACCAGCCTGAAGAATTGGACCAGGAACTCGTTCACCCTAGAAGTACAGCAAAGGGGATTAAAACTAGACCAGAGCTGACCACAAAGGTTTGAGAGCAGAGCTGTCCAGAAGCAAGGGCCTAGAGTTACCTTCCTGCCTCAAGGCACAGGGCCTGACTAGGGACAAGGAATATTTTTTCACGGGTCTCCAGCACAGAGTGGATTTGGAGCTGGGCTGGAGGAGGGTGGAGGGGTACCTGAGGATGGGGCCTGAGGGCTCTGAGCCGGGCTTCCCTGCCCCCCCAGGACATTCCTGTGTTCTAGTTACATTAAGTCAGCTGATAGCTCCTGGTAATCTGCTTATGTTGGCCCAGGGATGGCTAAGCCTCTTATGAGGGGAGGACCAGGGACTGATGATTCAGGACACAGGAGAGATTTTGTGTGTGGGTGTATGTGTGTGGGGGGGTGGCGAGGGGATCTGGGTTAGGGACTTCATCCTCCCTTCCTATTGGGAAGAGAAAAGGGCAAGATTTGAATAGCTAACTGAGTCAGGGCTATGGAGAGTCAAGACAGGCAGCCACCTGGGGTAGAGGGGGCATGCCAGGGAGTGTCCCTTTTTCATATGAATTAAAATATATATACATAATTATTTACTTATAGAGAAAGAAATACCTGAGCAGAATTTTTCAGCATTAAAAATACTTGCATTTACATATACAAAATATGTATATTTTATATTATATATGTACAATATGTTATTTTATACACATGTGTATATGTACATGTGTATGTTTTAGGTATGTATATGTGTGTGTGTGTGTGTGTGTGTGTGTGTGTGTATATATATATAAATGCAAGTATTTAAAATGTCAGAAAATCCTACTCAGAAGTATTTATTTCTCTATTTCATCCATCTTAAGTGAGGCTCAGCTTTTCAAGCAGGAATGGCTGGGGGTTTTCAGACCTTCCGAAGGCCCTGCAGATATCTTGTCCTTTTAATGACTTAGCTCCCATATGTCTCCTGGCCTTCATTCAGCTTGTGCCTTCCCCCTCCTCCTTCTCTAGCCCCTTTCTCTAAAACTGGTTCAAATTTGGCCTTTTCAGGAGGATGGACCCAGTCCCCCTCCTCCTTCAAATGAGATATTTATTGAGGGCTTAGCACAGTGCCTGGCACATATTAAGTGATCTAGCGATCAATGCTTATTTCCTTCCCTTTGCTTCTGACCACCCTGACAACCCCCCTCCGCCTCCGCCCCATCAGCTGCACAGAGCCACAGAGGGAGGCTGGCACTTGTCTGTAAAGTGTGGGAGTTGTTTGCCGATTTCTCTGGTGTGTTATCTCTCTCCTGAGATCGGGAGCTCCCCAAGGGCAGGTGGGCTGTGTATCTCTTCCCTCGGAGCCCAGAGCTCCCATTCATCAGACCCAAGGGTCTACTGTGCCTACGCTTAGAACACAGAATTTTAGGGATTTTAGAACACAGAATTGCAGCCCTGGAAGGGACCTTAGTACATCGAATGTTGGAATTGAATGTCAGTGCTGGAAGGATCTTAGAACACAGAGTATTCCTCCTCTGTAAAATGAGGGGGTTGGGCTAGGTGCTCCCAGAGGTCCCTTCCAGCTGTGCTGGGCCTCCGTTTCCCCCTCTGAGGTCCCTTCCTGGTCTGATACTGTGAGTCTCCTCCCTTTGGGTTATGGCTTCTCTGGACAGACCGTAGGAGCTTCACACCCTCCAGGGAGGGTGGTGACTAGCCCAAGGCCACTTGGAGACTCCATATAGTGCAGACCAAGGAACTTTCCACCACCCTCTCTGGTCTTATGGGCCATCATCTCCCTCCCCTCTCCCCTTCCCTGCCACAGATTACCTCTGCTCTCCGGAGGAGAATGTCTATAAGATTGATTTCACCAGGTTCAAGATTCGGGACATGGAGTCAGGCACAGTCCTTTTTGAGATCAGCAAGCCCCCTACTTCAGGTGAGTACTAGGCTAGATTGGAAAGGGGGTCAGTATGGTGGTGCAGATGCACCTGCTGGGAATTCCTCCTTCATGGGAAACAGGCCCAAGGTCTCACAGAAGGTAGATGGCAGGCCCAGGGCTTCCTTCCCCAGGCTCTTACTGGCGTGATCGATATTCAGTCAACAAACATTTATTAAATTCTTCCTGTGCTTGCAGCATAACTGACTACCCCAAGTAAGAGTTCAGAGAGAGGGCAGGGAAGACCTTGGGAGGTCATCCTGTCCATCCCCCCTGCATCTGATAGAATAGAAGTGAATTGAGCTTTCATTTTGTTGTTGTTGTTTTTTTAGGCAATGGGGGTTAAGTGACTTGCCCAGGGTCACACAGCTAGTGAGTGTCAAGTGTTTGGTCTGAGGTTGGATTTGAACTCAGGTCCTCCTGACTTCAGGGCCAGTGCTCTATCCACTGTGCCACCTAGCTGCCCCTATTTTGTCTTTGTATCCCTAGCGCCATCACTTGTTATCTGTGAGACCTTAGATAAGTCACTTAAGCTCTCTCTGGGCCTCAGGTTTCTTATCCGTGAAATGAGTCCTTTCCACATGTAAATTTTGGGGGTCTGTATAATTCTCTATAACCTAGCACAGCGCCGGTCAGCTAGTAGGCATACGTTGTTGTTTGATAAACTATATTCCCAGGAGCCTTGAGCCAGGAAGAGACAGGACTAGGGCCTTGGCCTTTCTCTTTTCCCTTTGTCCAAAAATCCCTGGGGGTGAGGAGTGAGGTGGGATGGTGCTCTGGATGGAGGCAAGCTTAGAAGTCAGGAGACACTAGGAGCTGGTTGATTTTGGAGGGTGGGGAGAGCAGCTGGTGCTTTTAGATAAGAGGAAGGGTGTGAGGTGTGTGTGTGTGTGTGTGAGTAAGAAAGAGAGAGAGAGGGAGGAAGAGTGTGAGTGTGTCTGAGTGGGTGTGAGAGTGTGTGTTTATGTGTGAGAGGTGTGAGGATGTATATGAGTATGTGTAAGAAGGTTGTGTTTATGTGTATGAGAGTATGTGTAAGTGTATGTGAATGAGAGGTGTGAGTATGTGTGAGTGAATGTGTGTAAGAGTGTTTATGTGTGTGCCAGTGTATGTGAGAGTGAGTATATGCACACTCACACACATATGTATGAGTGTGTATGTGAGAGTGTGAGTATATGTGTGTTTGTGAGAGGTGTGAGTGTGTTTATGTGAGAGTGTGAGTATGTGTGTAAGAATATGTGAGGTGTGAGTGTTTGTGAGGTATGTGTTTTGAATGTAAGTAAATGCGTGTGTGTGAATAAGTATGTGTGTAATAGTATGTTTATGTGTGTAAGAGTATATATATGTGTGAGTGTGTGTGTGAGAGGTGTAAGAGTATGGTTATGTGTATGTGTGAGTGTGTGAATACGTGAGAGGTGTAAGTGTATGTGTGAGAGGTGTGAGAGTGTGTGTGTGTGTGTGTGTGTGTTTTGGAGTAGAGACAGTGGGGAAGCCTGGGCCTCCATCAGCTGGTATTATGCTGAGCCCCAAGGCAAGTCCCTGACTACTCAGGGAAGGGAAGGGAAGGGAAGGCAAGGCTAGCTGGGTGCGAGGGAAGCCCTGGGGAGCTGTGCTTAGGGAGGGTGGGTGCTGCTTTACCAGCTATTCACCCCAGGATCCTGGGGTGGTGGGGGTCTGCCATTGCAGAGAGGGACCTTAGCGAAAAGCGGGATGTGGACCCCAATGCCGGCCGCTTTGTCCGCTACCAGTTCACCCCAGCCTTCCTCCGCCTGCGGCAGGTTGGAGCCACGTGAGTTACTGGGAAATCTGGGGGTGGGATCGGGCTGTGGTTGGAAAGGCCCCTGAATCATGCCCTGCCTTCTAGCGGAAGACCGTCTCTGAGGGCACTTGGGCATTGGGCATCCTTTAAAGGAGCTCCAGAAAGCCAGCACAGTCAGGCCCCAGCTCCCAGGCACCCCTCGGATTGACCCCCCCCGGGGGAAAAGCCCATCCCCAGATGTTGGCTCCCCACCCTCCCCCTTCCACCCTGCTGCTCTCCCCATCTCCCCATCCTTTCACAGTGTGGAGTTCACAGTGGGAGACAAGCCCATCAATAATTTCCGGATGATTGAGAGGCACTACTTCCGGAACCGACTTCTCAAGAGCTTTGACTTCGAATTTGGTTTCTGCATCCCCAGAAGCAAGAACACTTGTGAACACATCTATGAATTTCCCCCACTTTCGGAGGAGCTAAGTGCGTTTATAGGATGCACACAGGCAGGCATGCTCGCGCGCGTGCGCGCGCGCGTGTGTGTGTGTGTGTGTGTGTGTGTGTGTGTGTGTGTGTATGATTCTCCCCCCTTCCACATCGGGGTGAAGCGGGGGGTGGGTGGGTGGGTAGGAAACAGGCATCAGAAATCAGGTCAGTGATTTTTCCCTAGGGTCACACAGAGAGTCATTAGTGGGACGGGGCTTGGATCCTAACTACCCAATGTTACACATTTCTCACTTCATCCCTTTTTAAAAATATGTGTTTAATTGATGTCTTTTGTTTTTTGCATCATAATTATTTCTGAGAATACCCCCCTGCCTCCAAGCCCAGCCCTCTTTTGTTAGAGGACCCTTAAGCAAGGGGGCCTTGCTCCATAGCCATGATCCGGTGGGGCCATTCTGCCCTGGGAGTCCTTTGCCACTCTCCCCGGAGGTGTTCTGTTCTCTCTTGTTTGGGATGGGTTCTTGGTTTTTCACTTGGCCCCCTTCTAACCAGAATTGTATCAAACAAACCATTCTCTGAGCCACCCTTAACTTCTGGTCCTGTCTGTTTGCTTGCAGTCAGTGAGATGATCCGCCACCCATACGAGACACAGTCGGACAGTTTTTACTTTGTGGACAACAAGCTGGTTATGCACAACAAGGCAGATTATTCGTACAGCGGGGGACCTTGACCTCCCCCAAACAGAGACCCCTTCTGGTCTCCAACTCTCCCTCCACCCCAGCTCCTGGCCCCTCCCTCCATCAAGCAGATGGTGTGATTTGCTCCCTGCTGCCTGGGGAGTGTGAGGCTGGGTCCTACCTTGTCATGTGTCCCCTCTGCTGAAAGTCACAGGGATCCCCATGGTCCCTGAGTGAGAAATGGGGTCCCCTTCCACCTCAGTGGCATCTCTTCCCCACTGTCTCAATTGCTAGCCTCTTCCCGGATGGTAGACAGAGTCTCAGATTATAGTTTGGGGAAGGCATGTCCTCCAGGAAGGCCTCGGGGAGGGGAGGAGGTTGAGAGGAAGCTGTTGGGCAAGGATCTAGGGTATTTAGGAGATTTGAGGCATTGGGGAAGTCTGGCAGAATTCTCTTGGCCTAGGGTAGCAGGATGGGGGGGATATGGATCATACTTCCATTCCAGTCTGGTAGGGGGAGAGTTGGAGACAGTAGCAGTCAGCTCCCTAATTCCTCTTCCTACCTTTCTTGTCCTTCCCACCCAGTGTCTTCCCAGGGAAGGAGCCAGGCAAAGGCCCCGTTTGTGTTAAATCTCCAAAGTCTTTCTCACTGTATAGTTGCTTTGAGGGTGGCACCTCCAGGTCCACTTTCTCCCTGGGCGGGCAGCCAATCTCTGCCACCTCAGCCCCTCTATCCCCAGGGGCATCTCTGTACTTTCCATCATTCCTGGCCCAATGCAGGAGTTACCCTTCCCTCTTACCAGCATTTTCTGGGCCATCGGGAGTGGTGATGGGAGTGTGCTTAGATGGCATTTCTCTCGTGGAGGCCCCCAGTTTGGGAGGTGCCCTACCTAAGAAGGGAACAGAACCTGACCTTGGTAGGAGGCACCTTATCGGAGAAGGGGAATAGAGGCAGGCCTTTGTAGTGTGGGGCCTAAAGCCTCGGTCATTTCCTCTTCGGTGGTCAATGTATACACCAAGATTTGTAAGAGAGCTTTGTGGGTTAGTCAGGCGTGGCAGAGGTCACGCCCTTCCAGGGGACAGTGTCAGGGTAGGTGTCTTTGATTACAAACTGCCATAGCTTAGTGACTCTTGCTTCCTGGGATTTTGAGATTTTTCCCTCCCAAAGACTGATTCCCTCTCTTCCTCCTTCCAGCTTACTGATGATGACCAGGGTCATAGGATCATTGTTCTAGAGCTGTTAGGGACCTCAGAGACATTGAATCCAATGTTCTCATTTACAAATTAAGTAACTGAGCCACCTTCTGAACCAGCAGTTAAGGGAGGGTCAGCCTGGATGCAAAGCTTGGGGCAGAATCGGGGAAGGTTGCAGGTAGCACAACAGGGCTGTATATAAATTTCTGTAGGCTATGGGGGAATGATGAGGATGAGGTAAGGGTCTGTGTGTGCATAAGCAATGAAGGTATATACTGCCCAAGTCCTGAACTGACTGGACCCGCATTCATTTCTGTCACACATGACCCTCCTTTTCCTACTCTGACTTGCCCCATGGGTACATGGAGATGGAGAAGAGGTAGGACCCTTAGAAGCCAAGCCCCCTTTCATCTTACATCTATGGAAACTGAGGCCAGGAGAGGGGAAGTGGTTCACAGTTAGACAGACTTGGGATTAGAATACACTCCATTGCAGCTGTCCACTGCTCAGCTGCTCCTTCCTTCATGCTTCCTGCCCATGGCCTCTTCCTGTTTTACTCATAGGACATTTCCTCCCCTCCTTCTCCCATCTCCCTTTCCACCATCAAGTGAGGGCTGGCTAGAGATCAGCCTTGCAGGACTGGCTCTGGGCATGACAGAAGAGGGTCAATGTCTTGTCTTTGCCTTCTTCCTAACTCTTCCCAGCCTCCTTCCCTTCCTGGCCATGAATTAAGCACTTCCTAAGTGCCAAGCACCGTGTAAAGAGCTGGGGATATAAGTGTAAACAACTAGACAATTTCTGCCCTCATGAAGCTTACATTCTAATAGGGGGAGACTACAGACAGAGGGGAGGGGTGGCCAGAGAGAAGTGCTTTGGGCAGGGTTTAATCAGAGGGGATGGGGAAAATGATTGGGATAGAGCATTCCAGACAAAAATATGCTGAAGGAATGAAGAAGGAACTGGGCTATCTTTTTCCCAGGGGTCCAAAGAAGAGTCGGGGTAAGAAGGGTATTTCAGACATTGTGACCCGGATAGGGAGATATTGTGTTCAATGAGAACACTTCTTTTCCTCCTATTGTACCACTAAGGCAGGCACCGGCTAGCAACGCTGACTGATCATCTTAGCTTGGGGCTGAAGAATTAATCCTGAACCCAGGTGACCTGGAAAGAGTAGGAGGGAAGGGGAAAATGATATCTGCAATGAAAAACATCTCTTGTAGGCCTGGGATTGTCAGTCCTTGGCTCTAACAACCAGCAAAACTGAAGGAGAGCGTTTACTTGGTGCAGCAATGTGGGGTGGGCTGAAACTGCAGCAGGCAGATTGAGGGGAGAGGCCAGGAAGGACTTCCCCATGGTGAAAACAGTGGAGGCCAGAGAAAGGACAGCCCAGGGATGGATGTGGCATGCATCTTCAGGATTAGCCCGAAACCAAGGATGACTTCCCAAGGGTATAGGAGAGAATCAGACAATAACAAACGTGTTGGCACTGCAGAGGGTACTGGGGAAAGAACCAGGGTGTGTGTGTGTGTGTGTGTGTGTGTGTGTGTGTGTGTGTGTGTGTAGCACTGAATGCACTGGGAGAAAGGGCTGTGTTCATCTGTTCTTTGGTTCATGACAGACAAAGGTAGTAAACTGTCTCTGGAGTCAAAGAATTTGGGTTCAAACCCAATTTTTGTTATTACCTGTGTGACCTTCCTGGGCCTTAGTTTCCTCATCAGAAAAATGAGGTTGGACTTGATGGTCACTTGGGGTCCCTTCCAGCTCTGGATTTATTATCTTTCTGGGCACAAAAGCAAAACCTTAGCTTCTCTACCCCAGTATGAGTGGGGTGTGTGTGTGTGTGTGTGTGTTATCCCTGTGGAAATGACTATCTCAGAGGGGTTCGGGGTACAGGAATTGTGTTGGAATCAGGGAGCTGAGCTCCAGGAATGGAAAATCCAGAAGAGACAGAAGAATGCTGCTTCCTTTCCCCTGGAGTGGTGCAAGAGGCTTAAGGAGGGGAGGGATATGTGAGTGTTTTCTAATTCAATTCAACAAGCATTTATTAAACAGCTACAGTGTGCCGGGTGCTGGTGATGCCAAGACAAAAGTGATCTCTCTAGTCCGTGCCCTCAAGGAGCTTCCATTCTACTGGGGAGATACAATAAACACACAGAAAAGTATATACAAAGGAATTGGGGGAGGGACGCAGTTCACTTCGGGTATATGGGTAAATTTTCAGAGGAGGAAAGTGTCTTATGACAATAATAAGTGATGACACCTCAAGGTTTCTGAAGCACATTACATCTATTATTTGATCAAGGGGAGGTTTTGTGTAAAGGCAGGGTCCGTGATGGGATGACACCTTTAATGCACTGGAGACAAGAGGGAGAGAGCCTGTCGGTAGGAGGGTCCTAGTTCCTAGACTGGAAGACCTGCCCTCAGGGCTAGGCCTAGGGAGTGAGATGGGGCTGGTACACTGTGGTGTGGTAGAAACGTTGCTGGGGAGTCAGAACCCTCGGCTTCGTATGCTAGCTCTGCTGCTAATTTGCTGTTTGACCTTGGGCATGTCACTTCACATCTCGATTTCTGTGTCCTCTGTATAGTGGTGGGTGGACTAAATGGTTTCCAAGGTCCCTTCCAGCTCTAACAGTCTTTTATTGTCCAAGGCTTTACATTGTCAGGCAATTGGGGCCAGGCTAGAGTTTAGGTTAGAGTGGGGTGTTTGGGTCAGACCTTGAATAGGTTTTGACTGGGGCTAGGGTAAGGAGCAGACCTTCTCCCTGGCGGTGCCAGCACTTCCTCAGGACTCCATGCTCTGTGTTCCTCTCCTGGGTGTATGTACCATTTCAACCACCTGTTGTGTGTTGGGCATAGACCCTTCCCTTGTCTGGGAGCAGCTTTTCAGTCTCAAGCTGCTCATTCTAGTTAATGTCGAAGATGTGTGAATTTGGACTGTTGTTCTACCACATACAGGATTCTCTCATATTTCAATTTCTGAAATCAATACCTTTAAAATTCCAGATCCATTAAATTTCCTTCTTGTTGCTCAGGTACCAGACTCTGGTGATGTGCACTCTTTTCCTTGTCGTGTTCTGGTAAATATCTTTGTCATAGTTAGCAATTCAGACTTCACAAAGCAGACAGAAACACTGCTAGAAGCTCCTGGCTTTAGGGATGCGGGCTTCCTCGAAGGGCTCTGGTCTTCCCTGCTGCAGGGCAGGGTTCCAAATCCCAGGCATTAGCAAGTGCTTCTGCCTTTGGAGATGCCACCCGGGTTGATGCCTTGGCTCAGGATCAGTCACTTAATCGACAAGTGTTTATTACTCTTATTATGTACCAGGCACTGTGCTAAGTGCTGAGTATACAAAGTAAGGCAAAAGACAGTCCCTGCCCTCAAGCAGCTTGCATTCGAATGGGGGAGCCAATGTGCCAGCAACATCTATACGTACTAGAGACAGAGTAAACCAGAGATAATCCACAGAGAGGGAGACACTATTTTGGAGGACTGAGGGGCAAAAGGGTACTGGAAGAAGACCGTGGAATATTCTGGTACTTGAAAAAGTACCTTGTTTTATCAGGTCAAGGAAAGTCGTCATTATGACCATGTTGTCACTTATTTATCAAAGAATAGCTCACATTTTTTTTTCTGCAGAGGTCAGCCTGAAGTTTGTGTGGGAGGGGTGGCCGGAAGGGGGCAGCAGAGGCACAAAAATCAGTTAGATGTTTTCATTTGGAAGAACGCTAAAAATGGTAGCATCTCAGGACACTTAGGAGTTTTTCACAGGTTTTGAAGTCACTGGGAAACTTTTTTTGTGTGTGTATGTATACATATATGTATATATGTGTGTATATATGTGTTTCTATATATGCATACACAATATAGTGTGCATTTATACATTGTGCATGTGTGTACATGTACATATATGCACATGTGGTGTGACCTTGGGAAAGTCACTTCACCCTGTTTGCCTCAGTTTCCTTATCTGTAAAATGAGCTGGAGAAGGAAATGGCAAACTACTCCAGTGTCTCTGCCGAGAAAACCCTGGATGGGGTCATGAAGGGTTGGTTAGGCAGAGAGTTGAGGGCAGCTCTTGGAACTTGGAAGGGGTGGCCACAAATTCTGTTAAGAAGGTTAACTTATCCTTCTTCGACCCCTGCTTTCCCTCCCCTCAAGGGGCTGCCCAAGTGGATGAGTGATTACCATCTTACCACTGGAATGGCCGCTATTGAAAATGGCCTTTGGAAAATGCTCTAAATCATTATTGATTAGAGAAATGCAAATCAAAACAACTCTGAGGTACCACATCACACCTATCAGATTGGCCAACATGACAAAACAGGAAAATGATAAATGTTGGAGAGGATGTGGGAAAATTGGAACGCTAATACATCGTTGGTGGAGTTGTGAAATGATCCAACCATTTTGGAGAACAATTTGGAACTATGCCTAAAGGGCTACAAAAATGTGCATACCCTTTGATCCAGCAATAGCACTTCTAGGGCTATATCCCAAAGAGATCAAACAAATGGGAAAAGGACCCACATGTACAAAAATATTCATAGCAGCTCTTTTTGTGGTGGCAAAGAACTGGAAATTGAGAGGATGCCCATCCATTGGGGAATGGCTGAGCAAGTTGTGGTATATGAATGTAATGGAATACTATTGTTCTGTAAGAAATGATGAACAGGCTGACTTCAGAGAAACCTGGGAAGACTTGTATGGTCTGATGCTGAGCGAAGTGAGCACAGCCCAGAGGACTTTGTACACAATAGCAGCCACGTTATGCAATGACTGAGGATGTTAAACTGAACCCTTCTCAGCATTGCGGGGATCTGGGACATCTCCAGAGGCCTCGGGATGGAAAATGCTGTCCACATCCAGAGAAGGAACTATGGAAGTAGAATCGCTCTCACTTATTTTTACCTTAAGTTGACTTTTGTTTCATCTTTCTGATGGTTCCTCCTATTGGTTTTAATTTTTACTTACAGCTTCACTAATGTGAAAATATGTTTAATGGGTATGTAAATGTAAAGCCTATGTCAGATTGTGTGCCGTCTTGGGGAGGGTGGGGGGGGGAGAAAAAGGGAGAAAAAATTTTCAACTCAAAAGCATATATATAAAAAAAAAAGAAAATGGCCTTTGGAAAGCTGGTGGGAAGACATGAAGCCTGTTCTCACAGTGATGGATTCTTCTCAAGCTAGTGCCTTATGTACATAGTTATTTGCATGTTATCTCCTCCATTAGAATGGAAGCTTCTTCTTCTTCTTTTTTTTTTAAAGGCAATTGGGGTTAAGTGACTTGCCCAGGGTCACACAACCAGTAAGTGTCAAGTGTTTGGTCTGAGGCCAAATTTGAACTCAGGTCCTCCTGACTTCAGGGTCTGTGCTCTAACCACTGCGCCACCTAGCTGCCCTATGAATGGGAAATTCTGGAGGGCAGGCCTTGTCTTGCTTGATTTTATTTGTATCCCAAGGGTAATTAGCACAATGCTCGGCACATACTAAGTGCTGAGTGCTTGTTGGCTGACTTGACAGGCCTTCCTCTATTATGGAAGCCTACCCTTTGGAGGCTGGGGGGTCTGGTGTGAAGGGACAGGTTTTTTCTAGAGTCATTTGGGCCTCCTCTGTCAGCTGGGTCCTGGCTGTCTGCCCAGGGAAGAGAGATCCGAAATGAAGGGACCAGGAGGCAAGAAGAGAGAAGTTTACTTTATTTCTACAGTACATGTTACAGGCTGGCAGTGAACTGAGGGGCCCTGGAGCAGGCCAGCTCCATCTGGAGCCTGAGGCTGAGCTCTGGCTGGCTCCCCATGGACCCAGCCCCAGCCCAAGTGTCCGTCCTGTGGGTGACCAAGGGGTGGCAGCAGCAGAGTGCCCGGGGCTGAGGACGAACGCCTCTGAAGGCTCCGTACTGTGGGACCCAATTGGGCAGGGATCCAGGTGCCAGACATTGACCACAAAGTGGGGTTCCTCCAGTACCCCTTTCTGGGCTGAGCAGGCCTTGCAGCATTCTGGGGCCCTAGACCAATAGGGCAGCTTTGAATTGGAGCCAAGGGGCTCCATCTTCTCAATAGAAAAGAGGAGAGGAGGCCAACCCACAGCTGCCCCACATTGGCCCCAGGAGGAGAGCCCACTCCAAGAGTGGGAAGAAGTTAGATGAATTTCTAAGCTGTGGAGCTTCCTTTCAAGAGAACAAGGGAGACCTGGCTGACTTTGGTTTCCTCCTCCAAGAATCCCCAAAGCCCTTAGGACATTTTCAAGTTTCCAGTGGTGTCCATATTTCTGAGCTCACCTGCCTTTTAATTCCCTTCCCTAAGGAATCTGGTTTGGGGCTGAGCAGACAATGGTTATGCTGTCCCTTCCTGCAGGAATACCAGGACCTGGATGCTGTGCTGGCTTCGAGGGGTCTTCTCCTACCCAGGACTGCCCAAGAAGGGAAGGACCCTACCCTGGCACTGCCACCTCTTCCTTGTCCTGTCAGGATGAAACCTGGTAAATAAATATAGAATGTTGCCAAGAGAGGGGATTGGGGGTAGGGCAGGGAGGGGGCAGGGGAATTCCCATGTTTTTATGCCACTGAACATGGGAATCAAAAGCAGATTCCTGTTGGTAGCTTTGCCTTAGTATGTGGTATATATACCTCTCTCTCTCTCTCTCTCTCTCTCTCTCTCTCTCTCTCTCTCTCTCTCTCTCTCCTCTTCTCTCCTATCTCTCTTCACACCACACATATATACATACACACGTTTACACATGTATATGTGACCCACATGCCAAGTCAAAGTCTGCCACTACATACATACGTACATATTTGTATGTGTATATATTATAATATGCTTTGTAAATATCATATATACCAGAATTTGGCACAGTGCCTGGCACAGTAGGCACCGAATAAATGTCTGTTGATTGATGTATACCTTTATATGGAATAAAAATGCACACATGCACACATCACCACACAACATATCTGACATGTGGTACATGGTGCAATGTGCACACATGACCCACATATGTTGTATGCCTTATCTCTTTGAAGAAGGCTTTGTTATAATCTTCGCTGGTGGACCTCTAAAGTACCTACATTGATGAAATTGCAGGTCCATTGAATATTGAAGTATACAGATATGTCTGTATATACATATACTTGCAAATGTTATGTGCACATGCATAAATATCCTGTATGAGGTATACATGATGTCTACAAGGCATGTGTATGATAGGTGCACAAGCACATGTCACATTGTCATAGACACAATATGACATGTACGTGTGTTCACAATGTTAGCTACAACATTTTTTGGTGTGGTTTTGTTAAATCTTCACTGGTGGACAGATCACCTGTATGAATGAGAGCATGGATCCATTGAATGTTGGGACATACACGGACATGTGTGCATTCATATATACATGCACATAAATGTGTGTGTACACACAAGTACGTGTGTGTGTGCTTTTGACCATACAGGGAATTCAGTGAAGACGTAACCCCCTCTCCCCCAGTGCAGATGGCACCTGATTTTTAACTCGAGAGTCTTAGAAAGTTTCCAGGGGCCCTGAGAGATGAAATAACTGGAAGAAAAGGGGGTGCTCTGAAGACCCTAAGCCAGAGGCTGCAGAAATGTTAGGGGGCTAGGGACGGGGGCGAGCCTAGCAGGGCCAGAGAAGGCAGGGAAAGCCCCGCAGTTTCCCTGGCCTTTCTCCTAAAAAACAAGTTGGCAAAGTCATGTTGATTTCTTTTAGGGTTCCCCCCCCCTTTTTTTTTTGAGAGGAGGGAGGAACCTTTTTTCCTTCCTTCATAGGGGGAAAGGTGATCGATCGATCCGTTGGTCATTGGTTCTCCCCAGACAGAGACATGGCCCCTGGGGGATTGCCGCAATCTGCAGGAGTGGCCGCTGCCTGCTGCCTCCGAGGCTCACACAAGTCCCATGGGCTTGGAGCTGGAGTTCAGGTATGGTGGGGCCACTGGGTCCAGGTCCATTAAGGCTGAGTAGAAAGTGGTGAGGTGCAGGTCACTCAGTCCACTGGGGGTGCCATTGCTCTGCAGGCCCAGCTCGC